ACGGTGGCGACTGTCTAGCTTGATTCTAGAGCCCGAAGACCGCTCTTTTGAATACCAGTTTTGTGATTGCACGCAACCATCACCTTGTAACATCTGTCAGAGGAGGAGGTTTGCGTTCAAGTTGATATTTGCAAGTGAGTATCCGGTGGGACCGAAAGATATTTGTTCTCTTGTACTAGTACTAGTACTGCAGTATTTTGCATGGACGTTGCATGTGGTTTGTGTCAACTTGAAGGCGTGCGATCAATTCCGTGCCTCGCGCCATAAAATTGGCTATAAATCGGCGAATCGTACGCCTTAGCACTGCATCATTGGCGAATAAACATGCAATCACACAGCTCAACAGGGTATCCATTCACGATCGTTGCACGCCTTTCTGGACTTCAGCGTCACTTCAGTCCATTATTCCAAGCGACATGGATGGTAGATGATGTGATAAGTCCAAGCGAACGCTTTCACTTTTCAAAATGCACGCTTGGGCGCTCACGCCGGTTCTGGCCTTGGCGGCATCCATGCTGGCAACGCCGACCAATGAATGGTACAACTGCCCGTGGTTCTCGACGGTCGGCAACGAGACGATGCCCGAGTTCACCTACCAGAACACATCGGCGCAAAGCATGTACCTCGATGTGCCTCTCTGCTACGACAACGTCTGTAGCACAAAGGACAAGACGCTCAGCGTCTTCGTGAAGCGGTATCCCGCTGCGGAGCCATCGACGCCGCCCAAGTCTGTAAAGTACCTCCAAGGCGGCCCTGGGTATGCGTCCAACAGCCGTACGTCGACGACTGCCGTCTCGATTCTGAGCATGATGTGTTTATAGTGGAGGTCGCCATGACGAAGATGTACTAGTCGACGTAGGGCTTCATGAGTCTGTACACGATGGACCATCGTGGCACGCGGCGCAGCACTCGCCTGGAGGCACTTTGCCCCAACCAAACATATACAACCAATACGGCTTGGTTCACGGGCTGCATTGGCCGCATCAAGGACACCTATGGTATTCCAACACCCTCCAAGAGCTATGTTGCTCATCATTGTCCTTCTAGGCCCAGACGCACCCAAGGGCTTTTCGGTCACACGCGCAGCCTCGGATCTTGCGTCGATCATTTCGAGTCCCTAGCAGCTCGCCAAGGACGATGTATACGTCTACGGCGCTAGCTACGGCACGTACTTGGTCGAACGGCTCATGCACTTTGCATGTCAAGGGCTATATCCTCGACGGCGTCATGAGCGAGAGCCCTGTCTCATATTTCCCCCACCGGGACCGTAACGCAGCCGACGTGGGTATGTCACGCTGACATTGTTGCGGGCTAGGGTCCTCATGGCTGTTACACTTTTCGATGTAGAAACGACGTGCTATTGCATTTGCGACCGCGATCCGGCGTGCAGCTACAAGCTCAACCGCAATGTCAAGCAGTTTACGCTCAATGTGTTCAAGAAGCTCGATGCCAACGACACGGTGTGTGCCCAAACGATCTTTGCCGCGCAGGGCACGCCTTCGACCTTCCTCGGCGCCGTCTTCACCAAGTACATATAAACATCAGCTGGCGCAACATGATCCCCGCTGTGCTTTACCGCCTCGACCAATGCGCGAAGAACTACAAGCGCCAAGATGAATTTGTCGCGCGCTTCCTCACGGTCGAGGCCAACGTTCTCGGTTCTGAATGGATAGCACCGAGCGACGTCGTGGGCAACACGCGCATGGACGCGGCCAACGACGATCCGGTCTGCGTCGGCCAATCGCGTTCGTCGCAGTCGTTCAAGTACACAAAGGACGAGTTCTGGAACAAGACGGCGGCGGTGCCGGCCGGGGCAAGTGTGTTCATGCTCTCTGGCGGCCTGGACATGCAGACCCTTAAGCCTGCCGAGTTCGAATACGCAGCCATGAATGGCAGCAACAAGCGCTTGTTGTTGTTTCCAACGGGTGGTCACTGCGTCGCGCTTGGCGCGTCACCGATGCTCGATACGACACGTGGACGCCGTTGCCGACAAGAGCAAGTGGTTGGCAGCTGGTGCCTTGTTTGCCATTGTATTTGCTGCATTTGGTGCTGCCCTGTATATGCGCAAGGCCCGCAATACGCGTGCGGAGGCTGCGCCAGAGACCAAGGTACTGCGATCCAGAAACCGTCGGCCGACGCTGTCGTGGAACCAGTTAGCATTGGTAGATCTCACTATCTACCTGAGTTTTCTTGCGACTTTTGGACATGCTGCATTTGTTTAGTCTGTAATCGCCCACGACATAGTGCCTATTCGCGAAAACACGCAATAGCATTTTCGATACGCGAAATCGCTCAATGGCGAGTGACTAGTTTTTTACGCGATATTAGTATGAACTAGTGTCCATCTGCTTGAACTTGACACGCAATTAGAAGTACAATTGACAACTGACGCGTTGTGAATTGTGCCGCCAATTGTGTGTCAAAGCGTTAGTTGTCCGGTTGCGGAATCCTGTCCAGAACAGTGTTACCGGTAAAGGCCCAAGCGGCCTGTGAAGGTGACCTGAACAAATACGTGCCGGGGTCAATGAAGGTACCGTCTGCGCGAGTGCTTGCCTGTAGTTTTGGCGTGTGGATGAAAGTTGCGGTGCTAGCGCATCGAATACTCGTATCGGTACCAGTTGTACACTGATTAGAGCAATACTTTGCACATTCCGTGCACCCACATACAGAGAGTCGCCTTGCCAGCCCCGACAACCCAGCGGCATGAACGTCGCAGCTTGCGCAAAGTGGAGACAGATGGCCCACTGGCGTGATCGTGCAGGAGCAAGTTGCTCATACCATTTCCCAATATGCTTTGTCGCCTCTTCATTGCTGCGATCGCAACGTCCGTGGCGGTGGCCTCGGTGAGCCCCCAGTGGGTCGACTGCCCCGTCTTCTCCGCAGGTCAAAACACCACCTTCACGATGGACGGCATCACGATTCGCGCCGAGTGCGCCGACGTGCAAGTGCCGGTCTGCTATTTGGGTGTCTGCAACAGCACCGCGACCATGTCGGTCTTTCTCAAGCGGTATCCGGCCTCGGCACCAACGTCGCCGGCAAAGTCAGCGTGGCTTCTCCAGGGCGGCCCCGGGATCCCGTCCAACGCAAGTACGTATTTCGAATTGTCTTGTACGACATCTCACACACCGTTTGTAGTGGAGGATTACATGACACTTCTCTATGCGGCAGCAAACGGCTCGACAAGCTTCTACACGATGGACCATCGCGGTGTTGGTCGCAGCTCCGCCCTCGTGGAGCAGTGCAAGGCGGACGCGACATTGAAGCTAAATGGCACGAACGAGACCTCCAACCAATGGCTCTCCGACTGTTTTGCCGTGCTCAAGGCCAAATACGGTGCATTGTCATACGTTTTATGAACAATATGTACCAACATCTCTTGTAGGCCCGGACGCGCCCAAGGCCTTCTCCGTCACAAGCGCGGCGACGGACCTCGCGACGATAATCGAGAGTCCGTTTCTCGCCGACGACGACGTTTACGTCTACGGCATAAGCTACGGCACGTACTTGGTCGAGCGCTTGATGCACCTCGCGCCCAAGCACGTCAAGGGCTATATTCTCGACGGTATTGTCAGCGAGAGCCCCGTGACTGCGCTGAGCGACCGAAACAAGGACATCGCGACCGTTGGTATGGCATTCTTCTTCTTAGTGAAATGGATAGGGTCCTCATCGATTTCCTTTGTGCTAGAAACCAAACTCTACGATCTTTGCGACCAGGACCCGCTCTGCGCGTCCAAGATTGGCCCCAATGCCAAGCAGTTTACATTCGACTTGTTCAAGAAGCTCGATGCCAACGACACGGAGTGTGCCCAAAAGGTGTACGCGGCCAAAGGGCGACCGTCCGACTTTTTGGGGCCCCTCTTTTCGAGCTTGGCGCAAGGGTATTACGGGATCAACTTGATTCCTGCCATTGTCTACCGCCTCAGCAAGTGCGTCACCGAGTACACGAGCGAGTCGGCTTTTCTCGACCGGCTCCTTACCGATCGCTCCGAGGATTCTGATGGGGACGACATCGTATACTACAACATTGTCAGCACCGAGCTCACCAAGCTGCCGTTGCCCAACGTCACGTCGCTCGTTCAAGATGCGCTGGCGACGACGTGGCGCGGTAGCACGAACGATTCGCCTGCTGCAGTAAGTATGTACTGTCTCTTTACGGGCAACAGCGACAAGGAGCTCTGCCGCGACGCGCCGCCATTCAAGAACTCGTTCTTCTACACGCGCGACCAGTATTGGGACAAGACGGCCGCTGTTCCTGCTGGTGCCAGCGTCCTCATGCTCTCCGGTGGCCTTGATGCGCAGACGATTCCCAAGTACGCCAAGCAAGAATTTGCATCCATGGCAGGTGCCAACAAGCTCCTCGTGGACTTTGCATATGGCGGGCACGGCTCGATTCACACGACGCCGACGGATCTCACGGTGCGCGCTTGTGCAATGGATAAGCATGTGCTTATTTGAACCGAATATAGGACCTCTCGAAACACTGTGGCCAGCAAGTCGTCAGCATGTACTTGCAGCTGAACGGTGACCTCCAGAAGCTCGACACATCGTGCGTCAAGAACGTTCTGCCGCCGCAGTTTTCGAACATTCTCGTTCCGTTCGTGGGCGAGCAGTACTTTGGCAACTCGACCGACATGTACGGCGACGAAGCGCCAACGCCGGTGCCGAGCGTAGTCGCCACGGTCGACAAGCCGCGGGCCGTTCCAGTTGCGGTGCAGAGCGCGGTGGCCACGGTGGACGCCAACTTCAAGATCGAGATGGTGGCGATGGTGTCGGTCATGGTGGCTTGTGTCCTCGCGGTTATGGGCATGGCTTTGTACGTCAAGAAGTTGCAGCGCGCCACGACGACGGCAGCTGCGAACGCGGGCATCGACGACGCTGTCGTGGACGAAAAGGCTCCGGAAGCGGCCAAGAGTGAGGTCGTTTAGACTTCCCTAAGACAGTACTACGACCAGTTCGACAGAGAATAACAGAACATCTTGGCGGCTTCATGCGCTCGAACGAAGGCGACGGCAGCTCCCATACCGCGTTGGAGACAATGGCGTTGGACAAAAGGGTGTCGGATACATTCCTTCAGGGAGTAAACATGGTTGAGGTGGCAAACCGTAGAGCCTTTGCGCAGCGACCGGACGCAATACATCTTGCCACAAGAGAAAACGCCATTCCGTGGATTATTTCCTAAGGCGCTGGTCTCCGAACGTCCACTTCAACTCGAGTTGCCTCAATTTTCTAAAATGTCATACGGATAAAATTTATCCGGCTTGTGGCATCACTGGAGGGGATTGGAGTTGATTCCGAATCGACTTCCGTTGCATCGACTGCGAGTTTTGGTTTTTATCGCACAATAGCGGGGCGCGCAACGCGAGGCGCGTCGAACACCACGCCCAAGGCGCCTGTACAGCGCAAGGTGACCAAGAAGGCTGCCACCGAGAAGGCTGCCACCATGATGCTACCGCCGCCTGCTGCAACGCCGCTGCCTACACCACCTCCAGCGGTCACGACGCCAGACGTGGGTCACCATGGCGGTTGAAGAAGCCGTCGTAGACCTTAGGGCGCTCGATGTCGATGAGCGTGCCGTCGGAAAATGCTCGCACGATGTAGATACACCACGACTTGGACACACCGAGCGGTACCCGCCCTCGCTGGCGAAGAAGTACAGCTGTACGGCGACCTTCTTGGCGAAGGAATGCGCGGACTTGCGGAACTTGTAGTCGCTCATGTAGACGCGGAGCGTGGACACAAGAGCGCGAAACGTGGCTTGGAAGCAGCGGAGGTTGTTGATGAACCACTGGCTGTAGCGAGGATCGCGAATCACGTAATCGAACTCGACCTCTATTATGGTTAGAATGTTGAACTTGTCCTCGCGCATGACGGTATGAGCCACAGCAAGCGCAGCTCCAGCACAGCCCACGGCTGCCGCGACCGCCGACGCAAAACGATGCGTGCGGTCCATTCACAGTCCTCGAGTGAGTTGACTCGCAAATGTGCGTTCGCAAACCAGGCAAATTTGGGCCAACTACGGAGGCTACCGGATAAATTTTATCCGTACTGTCCGACGCCTGCATTTTTGAAAATTGAGGCAACTCGAGTTGAAGTGGACGTTCGGAGACCAGCGCCTAACGTTAGCCCCAAACACATTGTACATGCTACCCTACCGTTGTACCAGGCGTTCGGCCAGACAGATGGAACTTGATGGCGCACATGATTAAATCAGGTTTTATCCCCTTGTGACTAGTATTCCCTTGGGGTGGCGTCACTGCGTCCTAGGTACTAGTAGTCGTGAATGACGTCAAAATCAAAATCGCAATTATAGACGAGCAAAAACGTCGCGTCTCGTGCTTCTCACGACTGTCAACGTGCATCCAAGTTCGATTCGGCTTCCACCGACACATCATTTCGTTACTCCCGCACTTGAAAACGACCATGCTGCGCTCATTCTTTCTCGTCAATTTCAAACGAGTGTCTACAGTCGCCATACCGGATGCAGTCTTTGCGACAATAAAAGGCTATAAATTTACTAAACTTAAATGGGTTTCATGCCACGTTCGCTCCGAGGCGCGCAATGGTGTCTGTCAAGGTGGCGACATCGTTTTGCATTTCCATCTCATAGTACGTTTGGTATGCGGCTTCGTACGCGGCGCGCCACTCGGTGCGGGGCACATTGTTGGCCATGAGCACCTGAATCACGGGTTCGGCGGTCTCCAGTGGTGCGAACGCGCCGTGGACTCGGCACCCCGAGTAGTCGTAGCCTTTTTGTAGCAGCGTCGTGCCGTCGCTCAACGCTGTGCCTATGGTCCAGCTCGTCCAGCTACGCGTGTGCCCTTGGAGCGGATGCTTCGGGTCGTCCTCGATGCCTTGGACCAGCCGAATGAACTTGCATGGTTCTTGAACTGTTCGAATGAGTAAGTTGTGTGTGTCATTCGTGTCACGACAGTAGACAATGTCGTCCCCAAGGCGTTCCATCTCCTACATATTCGAAAGTCAGTGACACACAAACCATAGGGTGTCAAACCTCGGTGGCCGCAATGGTTTCGCATGCAGTCAGCACGACATGCAGCGGAGAAAGCACCACATATTGCTGGTGCACCATCGTGCAGTACGTGTCCTCCAGCTCCGAGACGCTGACGCGCACAAATGGTGCGCTTCTGACGTCACGCGGGAACGGCGCCTGCGCGTAGAGCTGTGGGAATCGCTGGTGGAGCTGGTCCATGATCCAGACAGCGCCAGTGGCACGGCTCACGGGCTCGTCCAACAGGCCCGCCAAGGGACGACTAGGCGACGACGGGGAGGCTTGCTATCCACACAAAGAGCGTCAGCACACAGCTGGGTATCAGAAACGTGTGGTGATGGTACCGGTGCTGTCATGCGCTGTACCCACGCAGCCAGCAAGGACGCGCGGGTTTCGGCCTCGGCAACTTGCTGCTGCAGAGCCCGCTGGACCTCTTTGCTCATCAACGCCTCTTCTTCGAGCGCCAGTGCAATGTCTTTCCACGCGACGTGCGACGTAGTCCGAGTTTTCTGTGTCTGTTGATACTGCAGCTGAGCCAGGCGCTGCTCTAAAAGCGGGATCTCGTCTTCGAGCGCAGTCGCCTCGAGCGCGATGAGGTACCGGTACCGGCGCTGGGCCTCGCGGTGTCGCTGGCGCTTCTCCTGCACAGGACGCAGCGTCGGGTCGGCGTTGACTTGGAGGTCGTACATGCCTTGGCGAAACGACAGGGGTGGTGTCCACATGGCGCAGCTAACGCGAAATGAAAAATAAGAACCCACCACGTTAATGGCTCGGTCTTGAAGTAGTAGCTGACTAGTCGAGAAAGGACACGCCGCGTGATGCCGTGCCGTGGTCCGCGCTGATTGGGAGCTCACCCAGTGGGCACCACGACATGTGTTTTGACGCGCTCTCCATGTCGCTCGTTTCGATCGTATGGCGACCGCAAGCATTTCTGTGCAAATCAAAAGAGATGTTGGAAAGGAGCCGAGCACGACAACCCATCCACTGGAATTCGCCTGTACTGGCCGACACGCTGTCGTTGTATCCAGTGGCCCCTCCCAACGATCAACGATGGTGTGTATGCGGCTCAAAGTTTTGCTTTCTGGCTCACACCATTTGCCAGCGGTTTGATTGGCCACATTGCCACGATCGGTCGTGTCATTGGCCAAGCCTTGAGAGTCGGTATCTTTGACGACAATTCGAGCGTCAAAAGAAAATGAGCTTTCGGGACAACCCCACTGCGCTCGCACAAGCGCGTCACAGAAGACAACATCTCTCGTGACGCAGCGTGCTTGGGCAATAATTTGCTGGACAAGGATTCTGTAGTTTTTTCAAGGCAATAATGTGAATCAGAGATGGTGGCCTGTTTTTGTACTCGCCCAAAAATCTCTCGAAGTGTTTTGCGAGTGCGTATACATAACCGTGGGTACCTGCGATATTGTGTCGAGTAACCCAAACGATGGGTTTTGAGTGGTTATTCCATGCAATGCCGAAATGGCAACCGGACTGTCGGGATCAGTGTCTCGCATGAACCGTCAAGCAGTTGTCTGATTCAGATCTTATTTAGACGGCGCGCCCTCGAGGGAAAGGCAGTGCTGCAGATTTTTTTCACTTATAAAGATGAGAATCAGAGAATAGCCATAAAACACGACTATCCACGTTTCGACTAGGGTGCGAATAGAAGACAGAATGAGCCAGTCCTTCTCGGAAGCATCACACGTGTCGGTTATAAACGCCCCGCAGTGTTAACTTGAAGCATGCGTATGACTCCGTGGCTCATTCCACCGCACTTGGCGCCATTTTGAATCCAGTTTGCCAGTCGGCGCACACATCCCGCGAAATCTCATTATAGAGACATATGGTAACGACCCCTACCTTCAACATCAATGACTATTGATGTGTTTGCCCTTCGCCGAGCGTAGTAAACGATCCGTGCCATTTCGTACCCAATGACATTGTTGAACTCAAGCCGTACCGTATCTGCATACTGGTAATACATGGAAAACAAGGAAAAACGACATTGCTCTTATTTCCTTCATGTAAAACCGATGCAAATCCAGTGCAAAATCATTGGTTTGGCGAACAGGACGGGCTACTTCACGACCAAAACGTCGGCGATGCCATTGGCAACGAGCGTCGTTGCTTCCTATCGGCGTGGTGTCATGGTTTGATTCTCTGTTCTACCCAAGGATCTATCCAAGTGTATATGCAGGTGCAGAACGGGGCTTTACGCATTTCGTTAATGGTTGCGGCACCACTCGCGGCAGCCAGCAACCTCGCTATTCGGAAACGCCTCGTCGAGGTACGTTTGGAAGAGGAGCCGATAGCGCTCAAAGACCTCATCTCGCGGCGCGGACGCCGGAAGCAACCGCACTGCTTGTTGGTACCATGGCGACGTCGTCTCCAGCGGCACAAAAGCACCGTCGCCACCGTACCAGCTCGTCGACTCGTAGACCTCTTGAATCATCGTTGCGTTTTCGCCAATCGGTGTCAAGACAATCCTAAACAGTTGCAGGTTTCCACAAACAATTTTTGCATCGCACTTCGTACCAGTCCATCCACGTTCGCTTGAGGAGACCGGTGGGCACCACGTCGTCGTGCTCGATGCCGCGCGAGAGGAGTAAGATGCGTCCGTGCTCGCGAAAGTACTGGAGCGCAATGTTTTGCGACGCGCTTCCATAGTGATAACGAACATAGCGCAGGTCGGGGGCCACGTCTTCAAGCCTCTACACTCTTTCAGACAGATGCTGTGCACAAGGTCCTACCATTTGTTCCGCATGCTGCGTCGCAAAGTACTGAAACACGGTCTCGAGCGCGAACGGGTCGACACGGTGCTTCTGCACCACAATGTGCGCGCCAAGAGCCCCTATCGGCGTCATGTGCAGGCGCAAGCCGGGCCCCGCGTCACCCGGTACAAAGACGCCGTCAAACGCACGGCCCAAATTGCACTTCATGTGCTGCAGTAGCCACTCAAAGCCCCGTCGACGCGCCGACGGCGTCGTTCCGAGCACGCTGGCGTGGCGCCAGGACGTCGTTGTTGTCAACGGCCGAGGCTACAACGGGGGTGAGACCAATCGAGTAGCTGTCGTAGAAGGCGCACCGTCGCTTGCATCGAGAGACAGTACGACCACAGCGCCTGGGCGACGTGCTCTTGGCGCTGCAGCGAGGCGCGGAGATGTTGCTGCTCGGACACCGCGCGGTCCGACTCGGCGCGCAGTGCCATCGCGACGTCGCGCCAGTGGAGCGGACGCCGGGCGTCCTGTATCGACGTGAGCTCGTTGACGGTTGCTTGAAGCCGCGCGACATAGTCTTTGAGGCCTTGCTTTTCGAGCGCATTGAGCTCGCGGTGCTTTCGCACGTGCTCGCGGTTCCGCCGCCGGCGCTCCGTCGTCTCCTTCATGGTTGCCAAGTTGCAGCCGCCGCGTTGTGTCTCATTGGTTAGAACTTGACGCCAGCTGTTTTGTCCGAAAGGCCACGCTACGTTGTGGAACCCACAAATGCGACCGCAGTCGATTGATTGCTTCTAGTTTGTTCATATATCTATATGCAGAATTGATTTCTACGAGATATACATGTTCTTCGTTGTCGCGCCTTGCACATGAAAAGGTCGTTTCTACGGAAGGACTCGCGTGGCGTCGTCAAGCTGTCGTAAAGGCGCTCGCTGCAACGTACCTTCGTTGGTTGACGCTGCGTCTATGGCACGGTCGTGCCGATGCTATGCTCGACCATGGTGTGACGGCAGCGGCCAGGGACAGGGCAGCACTCGATCCATAACTTTTGGTCGTTTGACCGATCCTCCGAGGCCTTCGTCAGGCTGTTCACCATGAGCGATTGATGTCGCGTTACCTTGATCAATCCAGTACAGGCAAAGATCGCGTCGATGAAGTTCGACGCGGTTGTGGCAGAGACGCTGACGGTGCTGGCATAAAAAATCCATTGTATTTATGAATAAGTTCTCATTCTCGCACCTTTTTCGCGTCCTCCGCTGGCACGGTAAATACTTGCGACCTCGTTGACCAGCCTAGAGGTTGAATTTGATCGATATCGCTTGATCGAGCGCACCACCAGGTTGCGCTTCAGCACCCGGCATGTCCTTCCCTTTCTGATCCAACCCTCGTTGCGGCCGTGCATCAAATGCAACGGCGGTCGATCGACTATTCGGTAACTGCGGCTACAACACGAAGGACTATAACCTCGTAAACCAGCACATGTAGTGAGCTCCCTCGGTGTCGGGGCACACCGATCGAGACAGGCGCCACTTTGCCGTATCACTGGCATCCGGTTCCGTAGGATTGTCCGGATACGCTGCCAAAACCAAAGATGGCCGAGGAGCATGTGCTATGCTGGCACGACATTGAGGCGCTGCGCCGGCATGTCCTGAGCTTCTTGAGCCCGCGCGATATCCTCCGCGCATCAAGCACGAGTCGCGGCTTCCGCGGCGCTGCCCAGCACGTCGATGCCATCAGCCTCGTGCAGGCCACGCCAATCAACACCCGCCTCGCCCACGTCGCACGCTTCTTCCGCGGCGCGAAGCAGCTGCGCGTGACGCAGTGCTACCTACCGACAGACAGCTTGCACGCGCTAGCTACGTTTGCGTACCTCCGCGACATTACCCTCTCGGACGTTGCCTTTCTCCAAGACGGCCACATCGCGTCCATCACGCGCAGCGCGTCGCAGCTTACGTCCTTGACCGTTGTGAGCTGCCACTTGCTCGCCCACGTGCACATTTTGGCCTCGCGGGCGTTGACGCATGTGCGCTTTGAGCGCAACATGAACCTCAAGCAGCTTGAGATACGTGGGGATAATGTGGCCGTGACGCATCTGACCGTCACCACGTCCGCGACGTTCCAGCACGCGGACGCGCTCGTCCATGCGCTGCCGTCACTGACGCACGCTTCGTTTGCCGAGTGTGGCATGCTCAGCAGCTTTGTACTGGCGTCCGAGCATCCGTCCTTGCAGAATTTGGACCTTGGCCGGTGCCACGTGCTTCTCGTCGTCGACGTACTGTATCCCGCGCTGTCTCCCTGTCGTCATGAAGCGTGCTCGTAGGTCCACGCTCCGCATCTCCAACGGCTCGACGTCGATGGATCGATGCAACTAACGCACTTGGCCGTCCGCTCGTCGTGCCTTCGAAGGCTGGACGCCTGCATGATGCTTCATTTGCAGTCGGTCACGCTCGACTGCCCGAGTCTTGTGAAACTCAACCTCACGGGCGCGTCACGCCTGGTAGCGCACGGTCTTCAGCTCCAATGTCCGCAACTCAAGCGCCTTCTTGTGCACAGTACGTCCGCGATCCACGCCGAGGACTTTGTCCACCGATGAGCCAATCGTA